TCTGTCTGTCTGTCTGTCTGTCTGTCTGTCTGTCTGTCTGTCTGTCTCTCACTCACTCACTCACTCACTCACTCACTCACTCACTCACTCACTCACTCATCCTCTATTTTCTCTGTTTGTCTTCTTCAGGCCAGACCTCCTGCTGCTGGATGGTGAGTCAGATCCTCCTGTTGACAGTCGCACTGTGGTCAGTGGTAGGAGTACTGGTGGTAGTACTAGTAGTAGTAAGAGTACTGGTACAAAGACGGGTAGTAATAGGAGTACAAGTACTAGGGGGCTGAGTAGTTGGAGTACTTGTAGTGGTATGAGTTTTTTGCTTGACCTTCATGCTGGTAGCAATTTTGTATCGTAGTTTGATGAGTACAAATAGTAGTATTGTGGTTAGTAGTACTCCTGGTACTACTAACAAGGAGTATTGTGGTAGTATTCTAATGTACTGTGTGTGTGTGTTTCAGAGCCGACCAACATGTTGGATGTCAGAGCCATTCTGTGGTTGGAGACCTACCTGCAGGTCTGAACCATTGGTCACTTTAATGTTAGCATTCCTTATTGAAATCAATGTGAACAGTTAGCCACAAGCTAACTATAAATAACCGATCCCTCCTCCCACAGACGTGGCAGTCCACCATCTTGGTCGTCTCCCACGACAGGAACTTCTTGAACGCCGTGGTGACGGACATCGTGCACCTGCACTCACAGAGGCTGGACAGCTACCGGGGAGACTACGAGAACTTCATCAAAACCAAAGAAGACAGACTGAAGAACCAGCAGAGAGAGTATGAGGCCCAACTGCAGTACAGACAACATATACAGGTACTACTGCTGCAGTACAGGCAACATGCACAGGTGCTACTGCTGCAGTACAGACAACATGCACAGGTGCTACTGCTGCAGTACAGACAACATGCACAGGTAGTACTGCTGCAGTACAGACAACATATACAGGTACAACTCATACCTGCAAACTTGTCGCTTTTCGGTGAAATTCGCCGTTTTGGATCAAAATATATCATCCTCGTGAATCGTGAAGATCCATAGAGTTTTATTTGGGGG